GTGATCCAATTGTCGACTCAGCTCCACCTCATGTATGATACGATCAGCGCTCATTCCCGTACCATCGTGGAGCACAATCTTCAACACGGCTTCCTGAAACACATTGAGTAAACAGAAACCTATGACTTTATAAATGATTCGAAGTTGGTTTCCTCCTCTCTCCCCCCCCCCCATCCCTGTATACATTTGTTCTTTCAGCATATGTGAGCACTTACTTCCTCCGCGTCATCGAAATTGTCGCAGTTTGACTACAAGTAGTGACTTGTCACTTGTTACTGACAACTCCATAAGCTAAACCATTCAAAACCTATTACACAGTATGATAGTCTGAAGGCTAGAGTAACATTCCAGGACAGTTGGACTGAGAAATTTCACGCAGAGATGAAGGCCCCGTCGTCGTTGATGTCCATGGACGCAAAAATATCGTTCCAAAATAATTCAAGGAAGGTTGTAAGTTGATCGCGCCTCATCTCAAATGCTTTGACTTTCTCAACAGGACAACACCTGCTATGCTTGTCGTCTGCTAGCTCTGGATGATTTCTACTTCACCACCAACGAAGTAAGAATACACAATCGTTGCGAGGTTGATTACCATCGGCGGAATCACCTCGATCTTGAAATGAACTTTTTTTAGCCGTGGCATGCCCATTTATTTTAGCTGTGTAGTCACAGCTCATGCAGGTAAGTGTACTGTCACGTCCAGCGCGCCCTCTTTTTCTGCATTACTGGTACGGCATCTGCGCGTGCATCACTAGCACTACGTGTAGAGTCTACACGGCTCTTGCAGGTACAATCATGTACCATGTACTGAGTGTCTCAGCCAGAGCGACACATTTTATCGCTGTTGCATGCATTTAGTTTGCTGACCCCTCGAAGTTTCTCCAAGCGCTGCTACTTGTTCCACGAAGTCATTCTCACCCCAGCTAAGGTAAAACAGTGATGAGGCTTGAGTGAATGGCCATAAGCACGAGAAATGTGCGGGCTGCAACGCCTGACTGATCTCAACGAGTCGAAATTACCATCGCAGCGACATCAGCGAAGAAATCGCGTCTAGTTCAAAGATCTCAGCTTCCAATAACAGAAAATAGAACTTTGCCGTCACCCTATACTGATGACTATCGCCTATGTCCAATTCCTTGCCTCTGGTACGAGTGCTGGTGAGTAAATACCCCATTTTATGTCAAAAGTCAAACTGCGACAATTTCGATGACGCGGAGGAAGTAGATTTTTAAATGTGAATGCGAGAAGGAATGGCAATCATATTATGCCGAGTAAAGGCTATTTCATGATAACATTAGAACGGTGTGCTCCCTATAGAATGAGCCAAAACGGAAGGCAAGAAGAATTATAATTCCTTCTTCATCCATATACAAAAACTTCGTGACTTTTCTCAACAGTAGTTTTGAGCAAGAACACCGCTCAACGAACCACGCTAAGGCTGTGATCGACAACCCAAATTCATGGTTGAGGTAGGTTTGGTTGATCCCGAACAGATTCTCCACGGAAGCCATGCGAGTGAGGACGTTGCCGACAGGAACTCAAGAGTCAATTGAAAAAAATAACACTTACTTGCTCGAAACTGACACCGTGATGAAGTGGAGCTCGCGGCTGGAGCACGGAGTCACGCAGCACTCACTGCCATGAAACTGGCCAGGCTGGTACTTGCAGTGCACAGCCACACATGCAACGTGAGAACATAAATAGGTTCCGCTCGCACGGCAAGATGAAACATTTCAGTCGTCGTGCAACCAGCGCTGACTCCGGATCGGAATGTCGACGACCTGGCTTTCTTCGCCTCTCTCCAGTTAGACGTCTCCGTCGTCGTCTAGGGGAATCGCATGGACCTCCTCGAAGCCGTCGCAGAATGCTGAGAGGATTACCCTGCCAAGAAAATGGGAAGCATGTGGATGTGTTTGAACGACTGGTTTCACGGCATAATGGAGGTCGCGGGTTGGAACGACTGAATATAGTTGACACCGATTCGTACATAGCTCTGGAGATGAAGAGGATGTAGCCAAAGTCCCGCGTCGGATCATCACTGCAGCTGAAAAGAATCTGAACGAAATGCGAGCGGAAGTAGCGACTGTTGGTGATGCGGCGTCAGGTGACAATGGCAGGAGCGACGAAGACTCTGAATAAGCTCAACCTCATTCGTCTGAGTTGCTTTTTTCTTTGTATATAGCTTGTAAACAGGTTAGACAATGCCACAGATGTTATTCCAAGTCAAACGGAACAATTCCAGAGCTGTGCGCAGACTTAAAAAAAGTCACGAAGTTTTTGAATACGGAGGAAGTATGAAACACACTTGTTGTTGTTGTATGATGATGGATACAATAGCCATTACACTCTATAGAGTAACGTGGAATTTTAGCCTTGCCTTATTGCAAACCTATATTATGGGATTATTCCCATAGCCTTTCACAGTTTACACCAGTGTGATTACTCACGTATCATTTTCACAGTTTACAGCACGCCACTCTACTCCCTCACCCCTTGCCTGCCTCCTCCATTAATCGTGTGTGAAAACAATACAGTTTCCCAGCTATTTGAGATTTGGCAGTGTTATAAGAAATTGGTCAATCCCTGATCCAGCAACGCTTCTATAAACGTGTGCAACCTCATTGAAAGGACAAGTAAGTAAGTCTAATGAAGTGAACGTTGGGCTTCTAGTGCCATTTGGTAGCTCATCACGACAGACCCTAGAACGCTGCTTGTTCCCTTCTACTACATGTAATACTGTCCAATGGAAGCAAGATATTTCAAGTGAGCAGGCAGCACCAGATGAAAAGCGACAGCGGCATCAAAATTCCCTCTACACATGCGCATGAAAAAAAGACTTACAACTTCCATTCCGGGAATGGTGACCGGGCGCACTGTACCGAACCTGCCCCTGCCGAGAAGATCGGGGCCAACCGTCAGTTTGCCAGCTATGGTGTGCGTCGTTTCGTCCACATCCTGAACGTCACCCACCACGGCACGTGGCAGAGGAACGGGCCGATCAGCTGTTTCCCATCCTCGTGGAGCCGAGCTGGACATCAAAGGTGGTAGTCACACCCGACTCCAGGGTAGACTATGCCTTCTCCAGCCTGCGACGAGGCTGTGAGATCAAGGACCTACGAGCGAAAGGGAACAGGTGAAATATTTGAACAGAAAGCCACGCTGTTCCTGCCAGGATTGTGTTTTTCAGACACAGGCACTACTCTATCTCCAGCAGCCAGAAATACACGCTGGGGTGATTCAGAACTTCGCTGGTTTCTCGGTGCAGCAAAGGCGGCGGAACAATTCCCGGTCCAAGTAACCCTAGACAGGCGTTCGGTAGCAGATCGTCCAAAAGGCTGAAACAAGCGACTTATGTACGCCCGTTCTCTGAGCCTATTCTGAAGGTGTTTGTCTTGTTCGACGCGATCGCTCCGCAACAGCGCACGAGTATTCTTTCTTTTTTTTTCTCTCGATTTTTTCGCTTTCCGTTCCTCTCTTCGATGTGCGTATAATTATGCGGTAGCGTCTTTGATCGAACATGGTACGAAGCGCTAGAGCATGATTGTACAGCCATGGGAAAGTCCGGGGACAGCACCTTGTCGGTGATTGCTGGATATCATAGCAGTGCGTAGCGAGAGTGAGTACGAGAACTCGTACCTGATCGAGATCAGATTCGCACACTACACCAGTACTACTAGCACACGGCGCACGTATTCCTTATAATGTCTTTCAAATCTAGTTTATTTGTGTATTGTAATATACTTTGAATGCCACACTTCTGGCCTAAGCGGTGTTTTAGCTCTAGCCTTATTCTCAATTGTACTCTATAATTATAGTATCAGTGTGCAATGCACTGGCGTGTGTGAAGGGTTTGATGCACTAGTCCAGGGCCGGCTATGCCTTATCCTGCCTTTGACGAGTCTGTGAGCTCAAGGACCTGCGAGCGAAGGGTAACAGGGGAAATCATTAATTTATGAACAGACAGCCACTCCAATACTATACGCTTCTCCGCCAGTAACATAATTTTAGGCCCCAGACAGCTATCTCTAGTGGCCTGAATTACACGCAGGTGGATTAACAACTTCGAGCCCTACTAGGCGTCGCACCGGTGTTTCAGACATGCTGTGAAGAATCCTGCAAGTAATACTTATTATATGTATTTAGATATTCGACAAGGAGACAACAATTTTAATATGGCAATATGCAGAACGAGCTGAAGTGACATTTGGCTTACTTTATTAAACAATGTAAGCTTGCCACACGTCCTACATATTGCCATAATATGTATCTCACACAAAATATTGCCTACACTAGACACTGGAACCTGTAAGACATTACTTCAGTACATACACAGTGCTACCCCCCCCCCTCCCACCCCCCCCCCCACCCCCCCCCCCCCCACACCACCACACACATACCTGTGATCAGCGAATCGCCCATTTAATACTACAGTGCCTGTGCAGTTGTATCACTGGTTTTACGAGCGGCGGTGGAATCCCAATGGTCTGTTGAGACCGCCATTCTACCTCACCACTTTTGTCTCATCCCGCTTCCTGCCATTTGTCACCTGATTAGCAGAAGAAGTTTCTTGATGGGGGCAAACCTACCCCATGAATATTTGCCCAATTCTACCTACCCCATGCTGCTGCTACATTTATGACGCGAAGACAGTATAATAATAATAATAATAATAATAATACATTATGCCTATCAAAAAATCTGGCCGTGAACGCCATGGTGCATTTTAGCGGTGGTCGAACAGACAGTGTGCTGGGGATATCCAGTCGTACGCCAAGAGCGATATCGGACCACAGGTACAGTACACGCGTATCTGCCATTGTGTTTGCAAACCATAGTAATACTAATACGGCCACAGAGCGGCATACACCATTAATTTTACGGATCATACATACATGTACATGACTTGTATAGCTGGGGTGTACGCATGTTGTGGGTGAGGAACCAGGATCGCCTTCGTCCGTGTTCTAAGTGCTAGTACTGGTTCTGATGTGTCAGGCCTGGATGTCCATGAAGCATAAATATTTTTTTCGCAACCAAACTCATCTATGAACAGAATTGCCGACGTGTTCAGGGACGTCGCGCGCATCGTGCGTAGAGGTGTATCCGGCCCATCATGGCTTTTGCCAGTTACGGTTTTCCAGCCCACAGAGCATGATGCTGGCCGTAACCTGGTTGACGGCGAAATCACCCTGACGGCGGCAGTCATTGGCGAAGGGTGCTTTGGACGAGTTGTAATATGCCAGATCCCCGGCATGGAAAAGGTAGGTGTAGTTAATACCTTAATCAGACTCACAATGCATACAAAGCCACTGATGTCTATAGTTAAGTGTCAGCTTTCCGCAGGAATGTCATGACCAGTGCCGGTAACCCTTCGAATTTGAATTTTTGTTTTGCATAGTGGTTATCGAGGAGTTTCCGGACAATTCGAAAAGATTTCAGTGGCTTTAGAAGATTCATATTATTTTATTTTTCTCCTGTTCTCCATACGTCACGCTCTCATGAAATATTTCCAGCACAGCCACTTACACATTTTAGGAAACTACACTTCTCAACTCCAAAAACGGTCTCTTCACTGCGAATTAAATTAATATATTTCAATTACATCAAATTTTTGGGCCTTGCCCATCATCAGGCTGTAATCCCTGACATCTTAGTTTAATATTGAAGATAGAACCACAGCACTAGCTACCTCAGCCGACCCAACCGTTGCCTCAGCGGCCAAGGTGGATGGATACCCTTGGGCTCAGCTAGGCAACGGCGGGTTGTGCCGGCAGAAAAATTGGCAGAATTCGGTACTTTTCCTGGTACCTTTCTTGCATGTTTGGTATGTGGATAAAGAAATGGCGCAGAATTCGAGGAAATGCCCGCCATAAGGTTTGTATGGTTCTGCCAATGTCACTGCTTTTCGAGCAGAATCTGCCACCTTTTCGAGCATAATCCGTCGTTGCCTAGGGCTAGCTGTGAGTGGCATCCCTGATGATGTGAGCAATACAATTATACCCTAAGTTTAGTCGAAGGGTGGAAATTGCCTCCTCTCGGCTTATGTTCTATATCTTCTACACCGTTAGCTGTCTATAGAGAACCGTTTCCGGTGGCAAGTTCATCGATACATGTAGGATGCAAGCTTGACATTAGGAAATTGCGTGTCGCTCCTTACATGCGCTCGCGCTTTTCCTGCCGACACGAATCTCACTTGATTGACTCACGGACCTCCACACGGGCCTCTCGAGAAGTCCATCGAACCTTCCGATCGGCAAATATGTAAAAGTAGGCTTAGCTACGTTGGTACGCAGAGCGTCCAGGTTATCCACCAATCCTCAGACAGCAACGATAATACTAATGCAAAGAGCCTAGGCGCATAGGAGAGAAGCCGTCAACGCTAAACTTTAATTCCACCCCTCCCTTCATCGGCTGAAAATCGTACATTTCTCGTTGCTTCCTGCATACGTAATACGTGCACTCAAAAGGTGGCAGTCATTCTTTTTATCACACTGGTTATTTATTATGGATGGATAAAGGCAGAATGAAAGAATGCAGGAAGAGAAATTCACTGCGTTTCATCTCTATGGTTGAGCTGATTGCTCCCAATAGCTATCCATGACTTTTAATATGAGTTTGAAGACGCAACCGTTCCACTGAAGACGACAACAAGTATTTCGCCAAAAATCTCCCTCTCTTTTTACTTGGGAAAAACAAGAATGTAAATGGCAAGGTATTTGCCAATAACTAGTATGGTGAAGAGTCGCATAAGACAAATCTTGAGAAGGTGGGATGGAAATAAAAAAAATTATATGAGCATTGTGTGAGTTGCGCCAAAGAGTACACGCACTATAACAGGGAGGTGGGAAGTCAAAATAGCACTAGCTTCCAAACAAAAACTCCTTCTGTCTTCACAGCTCAGGCTGTAGCTTGGCAATTTAAACAGCCTCTAGCACATCTAGGTGACATTTGCCGGGGGCGTCGCGTGAATCTTGAAGTGCTCTGGATCATTCTTACAGACTGCATTTAGGCAAGAAGGGGACATGATAAGATGTGTGGTTATTGCAGAATCATTTTTCACAGCTGATAGATGTGCGGTTATTGCAGAATCATTTTTCACAGCTGATGGGTTGTGTCAATCACGCTGGTTGGGTTCACAATTACTCGGGATAGGGTTAGTCTGCGCTACCTGATCCGATGGGCTCCTGGTCGGTGTACGTGTAACGTGGCGCTGTTGTAGTAGCCGAGTACTACGGCGAGCGCTGGTTGTTGTCTGCTTGCCAAGCTACAGCCTGAGCTGTGTAGACAGAAGGAGTTTGTTAGGAAGCTAGTGCTATTTTGACTTCCCACCTCCCTGTTATTGTGCGTGTACTCTTTGGCGCAACTCACACTATCATTCAGCCTGTGTACATTTCATCACGATATGAGCATTCTTGAATTATCCACAGAGGCACTCATAACTGCGAGGGAATGCAATAACACAAATACATGTATATAGCCGTTTCGGAGAAGTTTCAACAAAGCAATGAAAAAAACAACTGAAGCCGACATAATTCCAAGATGGACTAATAAATTAGAATATGTAAAGATGAATTCAGAATCCTTTTTCTTCGATTGTCATCAGAGAACCTAAATCGAATTTTGGGAAATAAACTAGAATACATCCTCAAACTAGGGGTTCATTGACGGTTACAATGTAACAAAAGTAACAACATTTCTGGACTCCACTTCACATAATTATTGTATTTTGATTAGTCCATCATTGTAGTATGTCGGCTTCAATTGTTCTATTCATTGCTTTGTTGAAACAAATAGATGTAACAGAAATATGAAAGTGTTAACAATAACATAGTAGAAGAAAAGAGGACCACGGAACTACAAGTTACGCTATCATGTCCACTAACACACCAGTTTCTATACAAATCACTTCATGCGGTAAAATGGCACGACACCGACCAGTGGTTGTGCCGTTCTACACCTAAGTGGCAATCGGCTCTAGCCCATCTTGGTTGCGCATTCCAGCAGCCTTCGTCAGTACCGTTTGTCAGTTTTGTGGAATGTTATCGCATGAGATTATTGTAAAGGAACTGGTGATGAGTTGACATTATAGCGTGGCTCGTAGTTACATTGTCCTTTTCTTTACTGTAAATTTATCCTTGGCTCTCCACCCGAGTCTAAGTACTTCGAGTGAAGTATGAAAGTGTTACCAACAAAATTTTCCAATTCTGTGATGTTTTCAACAGCCCGCAGTTGCTAAAATTGTTCAACTAGGCACTTCGGCGGCGGCGGAGCTCACTAACGAGGCGGTTATCATGCGAACTCTACAGCACCCCAACATCTGCGCGTTCTACGGAGCCCTGCAAACTCGGGAGCGCGCGTATTTCGTTTGCGAACGACTAGCCGGAGTAACGCTGGCGACCATGACAGTGGGTAGAACCGCTGGTGTGCTCATGCCTCTACTGGGTGAGCCGGAGTTGCGCGACATAGCTCACCAGTGTCTGAAAGCGCTGCGCTATCTCGACTCGGCACGCATCGTTCACAGGTAAGCTCAAAGGAGAATGGACAAAACCATACAGCGCAGCTGCACATCTATCGCATGACAATAGAGAGTAGTGGTCTTTGTACTACATGTATTACTACTACTAGTATAGTGTGGCTGGCTTGGGACGGTTGCTGTGGTGCTGTTGCTTTCTCTCTCTCCCCCCCCTCTCTCTCTCTCTCTCTCTCTCTCTCTCTCTCTCTCTCTCTCTCGCTCGCTTTCTCTCCCTCTCGTTTACTCTCTCCTTCTGTCTGTCTGTCTGTCTGTCGGTATGTCTGTCTGTCGGTATGTCTGTCTGTCTCTCTCTCTCGCTCTGACGCTCTCTCTCTCTCTCTCTCTCTCTCTCTCTCTCTCTCTCTCTCTCTCTCTCTCTCTCTCTCTCTCTCTCTCTCTCTCTCTCTCTCTCTCTCTCTCTCTCTCTCTCTCTCTCTCTCTCTCTCTCTCTCTCTCTCTCTCTCTCTCTCTCTCTCTCTCTCTCTCTCTCTCCCTCTCTCTCTCTCTCTCTCTCACTTGTGTACTCCTAATACATGTAACTGCCGATTTTGCATTTTTTGGCTAATGTAGCGATATCCATATGAACAACGTCATGATGACGTCACATGGTATCGTGAAACTTATCGACTTCGGAATGGCCATAAACATGCGGGATGCACACCGTATTATGATACGCATGCGTCAACGAGCAGATCCGCCGGAGACAAGGGCGATGGCGCTTGGCGGGATTTGCCCTAAGACAGACGTCTTCATGCTGTAAGTATACCGCAACATGATAGAATAGCGGGCAATGGCCTGATTCCCTTTTTGCAACTCCCTGATACTATTGAATAACGGAATGTTAGCAATTTTACTGTATTTTAGCTGGGAAGCATGTCACCTCATTGATCTCTTGGGCTTCTGTATGGCGCGAAGACTACAATTCACACTTAGGCTCCGTTACTGACTCCTTAGTTACTTGTGTGCCCATTGGTTGTCTGTATTAAATGCAGAACGAACAAGATGTCACGCTTGTTAGCTTTTCTTAACGCGTGCAAAATGTTGTCGTTTTTTAGATTCGTAGGAGTAACGCATTTCATCGCTGATTGAGTTCAGTGATTGCTTGTGATGTTGCATCACCTATCCATACTACCCAATTCATTGCTATCAAAGTTATAATGTCGTTACACATGGGTCTTTTGGTAAAATCTATGTCAACAGGGGCACAATGCTGTTCGAGTTCATGCTCGGACTGTCGTCGTTCGGGAATCTCAAGCAGAAGTCGTACCAAACTATACAGCATATTCTCGCCCAAGGCATTCGCGGGTCCAGCCCAGCGTTCCGTGCACTGAGTTTGCATTTGAAAAATTTGATCAGGAGAATGACGGCGTACGCGCCGAACACACGTCTCTCCGCGCAGGAAGCCCTTGAACACCCGTGGTTTACTTCGGCGACCGGTCGGGCGTACCCTGTTCCGCCACCAGTGGCCTTCCGAAACTGGACCCCAGTGCAGAGGGAGCAGGACCTTGATCAAGGCGAGGTCACAAGGCTTGTAGCCGAGTTACATATGAGTCGCAGAAATGTGGCTGGAGCCATTCTAAGGTAGGTTCTCGAGTTCCGCATGTTTCCAATGCTATGGAATTGCTGATTTTAGTTGAGAATCGCTATAATTATAGCGAAAGGTTTAAGTTACGGTTTTCATAAGTCTCCCGAAACATCAGGATATTGGTATATCATCATGCGTAACAGTGTGGTCGGCAATTCATGCTGGATACAAAATCACAGACGTTTTACTGGAAATATTTGTCCGTCTCTAGTAGTAATTCCCAAGTAGGCTGTTTGCCTGACTGCGGTGCAGGAATACCTTTTTTCTTCAAGTTAAGGAACCTTTTGTGCAAAAGTTCACAGGACAATGTCTGAACACCTCTAATTCGTTGTTAAGTGGGATTGTAACAAGATGCACTCAAGGAGACGAAAAATAGAAACAGATGCACAGGACGTCTTATCTCCAACACTTATGACACATGTCCTAATTGTCTGGTAGTGCTTCTTGCGTAAATGCATGTGTAGACAATTTTTTTCTTCCATTTAGACTTTATTTGAAGGATTCTCCAAAAGTAAATGAATACTTATCGGAGGAGTTTACTGGAAGGGTGGATGAGCCGAAATCGAAGTGAAATGGGGCTACGGAAAATATCTAGCAGAAACACTGCTGAAGGAAAACTTCAGATAAAACACAAAAGGGAGAAACAGAAACAATGCATACTCTCTCTTCTCTCTATGCTCCACTTTGCAGTCGACCTAATGGATGGCTTGGCATTGCTTATCGTGCTAACGTCACGCTGAGACGCAACGAACAACAGCTCTGAATAATATCGACATCTATTTCCCGTCTCCACGCAGCTTGAATGCGCTCAAGGCCCGTCGCTCTCCTGCGCGATGACTACGCCTTGCGGCGAAGGCTCTTTTATTTAAAAAAGCGATCCTGTTAGCTTTCATATTATTGTGTAATCATTAATTTGCTTGTGCGATGCGAGAACTACCGTACAGTAATGTGTACCCGTAATTCCTTGGTCACGTGGTAAAGTTTGATCACAACCATGTTTATATTGTCATATGCGATGTGGCAAACTGTTTAGAAATAATATTTGAATCGTAGATCTACGTTTTCATTTTTCATGATATCCCCTCATGATATCTCCTGGATATCCTCACACACGTGTAAAGAGAATAAAGTTCTCGATAATGAAATCAGCCACGAGCGACACTTTCTCGCACTGCTCTCTGATGCTCACGACGTGTTTGTTGCCCTGGTGACGGAGCGTCTAAGTAAGTTTGTATCCCTGGTGATGGTTTGGCCTGGAGAGCATGGATGACAGTCGTGAGTCGGTCAAGTCAGAATTCAAGTCGACGGGAGCAGCGGGAGCTCCCACGTAGGGAAGCAACCCAGTTCTCATAATGAAACAACATTTTCACAATATTCACAGAAAAGAAGATATTTTTCTCGCCGGCCGAGCGCAGCAAGATAGGCAAGAAATGATTTCTCGCTCAACATTATCGCTTGCAAGTATGGCATCTGGTTTGTTCCTTATTGTCGCTTATTTTCCTGACTTCTGCAGTCATGTTTGAGTCTCACCAGTCTCACCAGTGCCCCGGCTCAGCCCCCTCCCCCCCCCCACCCTATCTTTTATGTGGATCTTATTATTGCTTTCTGAAATTTTCTCCCGTGATGTGTTGTCTGCAACAACCATGCAAAAGGGCACGGTGCACAACTTACGGACTCCTTCGAACCGGGGACCACCTCGAAATGGGCCCAAAGTATTACTGAATTTTGGGTCCAAAACCGTGCGCTGGTACAGCGTACACAATGGAGCTAAGAACAAACCACCACCATGCTAACATTACCTCACGCGGCTAGTCTTAACATCACCACCACATAGAGCCATGGCTACACCCAGGAAAGCAATGGCCATCATCTCCAAACATCACTAAATTGCATCCCTAAAATAGCCAAATTTCCAGGGCCATAGCGGGAACCATTTACAGGGTTTTTTCCTAAACCATGCCTTGCAGGACAGTAGACTACTAGTACATGTATCTCCACTACCACCCAGGATATGCCTCCTAAAACGTTTTCCACCTACATGTATTCTGGAAATAAAGATTTTGTGATATCTCCATTTTATTAAATTGGAACATTGCCAATTTGCTACCCGACGACGGAAAGCGACTCCTCAAGCCCCAGCACTGGGCATTTCCCAAATCGGCCCGATCGTTTCGCCTAGTTGGCTTTTCGATCGACTGGGAGAATGTCCTAATTCGGCCATATTATGAGCGCCAAAGTCAGAATTCGGCTCAAGGCATCATAATCTATGGCAAGCTCTTATTTGTTTCATATGTACATAGATCACCACCAAAGTGACACGCAAGATTGGCGCGTTGCGACGAACCTTCCGCCAAATGGCAGCATTTGCCCGTCGCCAGTACCTGCTTGGTGTGATTACACCTGACTTTGAATACCCTCTCCCTGCCTATGCCTCTCACCTATCAGCACAGTCAAGAGAGAGACAGAGACTGTTTAACCTTTCCTGTACAGCTGTACGAGTTACCTGCGGGGCTTCATGCCATACTGCTGTTCTACCACATGTGGTTTAGTTATTACATTTTTATGTGACGGCGTTCCATTGTTGAAAGTCACAAGAACACGTTGTTGAACTTAACTTTTTTTGTTCATTTTTGCTGTTGTTATGAATGCACAATTGATCTTATTTATTTCCCATTTTTCAGTTGTGATGTCTTTCATTCGTTGCCGCTCAAGCTTTGCGCTTGTGAGGGCTAGTATGATGTGTGTGCGTGGAAGTCGCTCTCTCCACTCTGCTCACGCCCCTGTCATATCTTCTGCTCTTGTAGTTTCGGCTGAGGCATCCATTTCGCAGCACTGACTCATAAACGTGCCATGCCGAGCAGTATTATTATCGATACGTACATGTCTTTAGCTCCTCATCGAGTTTTTACCAGGCGTGGGCCATCCCCTAATTATTATTTCAAAGGTGCCAAACATTTTACGTTTTTCATTCACTATAATGCATTTTGTCTACAGTCTTAATAAATAGTTGGGCAAAAAGTATTTGACCCGGGTCATTAATTGCCATTTTACGATTGTCTCTTCGTCCATTGTTCAATATGATAAGGCTTGGAATTTTCAAAACATGGATATCGACGCACTTGCCCCTTCTAATCATGTCTTGCCCCGCTCTGGTAATGGTTCGTGAATCCGGCCAGTCCACATAATTATCTTCTCGGCTTTTCTTTCATTCCAGTTGCATCTTCCGTTCTGCCCTGTGTTTTTCTTTCTCTTTTCGCTCGGCTCTCTTGATATTTGTACTGCTGAGGTAGCGAACTGAAAGAACAAAAGTAAAACCAAAACTAAGCCAGCCATAGATGGGTGTTTACTCCATACACTGATCGGTTCATGGGACGTTTGTCAACCACATGTAGCGTGACTCATTATCGGATGTGCATATGAATCCATGCGTACAGATAGATATACGGCTATGCAGGCCCGTATTACGTTTTCAGAAGAGGAATATAATGAAGAACAGCCCTCTCTGCTGATTTTCTGAGTTATGTAGCCTTGTCGAAGGTTATTCTATCGACTTCGACAAGAATCATATGAAAATAGTCAGTAGGCAGGATGGATCGGTGTGCTGTATTTTGCAGGGCAGCAAGGCGGCTTGTGAGGAGTCTTTTTAACCGCCAGCGCCCTTCGCAATTTCCTGAGGACCTGTTCCAGGTAGCCGAGTTCGACGCGGCCCGAAATACTTGGGACGGTGAAATTGAGCTCCATGATAAGATTGTGGGGAGAGGCGCATACGGCACTGTAGTCGTCTGCAGTATTCCGGGGATGCATAAAGTGAGTTAAGGAAAGGCTCAGACCACGCAGTGGTTGGCTGTTGTGTATTATAGGAAGAATTTGGTGTCGAACATTATATATGCGTGTGTGGCCTAGTTTCTTTTAATTAGTGACAGCTTTTTAATCTTTTGTGTGGTGAATGTTTTTGTGATTTTCTTGATTAAATGATGTGGTGTGCTTATGATGTTTTTCTGGAAACGCCTGAACTCGCAAGCAGCCACACACAAAGTACATATCGTCAACATGGTCTCTTTCGGATCAACAAATTTTCGGGCCTGGCCAAGCGGTAGTGGCAAAGTCCTAGCACCTTAACCTTGCGGCCGTGGTACTGCCTGAAGGTATATTAATAAAGAACAAGATGGCGGTTGCTATTCTTGTCCGCCGCTATCATTACAAGTAAAACTAAAATCCCTACGCCCGTACACGGCGCGAGGCATTATCTCTGTCCTTAGCGTACTATTACCAAAACAAATTCGTTTGCAATTGCTTTCGCCTATTCCTTAGGCCGCTGTTGCAAAGACAGTGATGGTAACGGACGCGACAAGGCACCGCATCATTGTCAATGAAGCAATCATGATGAGGGAGTTAAAGCACCCCAATATCAATGCCTTATTTGGAGCCCTCCAATGCCAAGATCGCGTGGTGTACATATTAGAAAGAGTGGACGGAGTTACTTTCTCGCAAATATGTCGCGGCAGGCAAGAACGACAGAGACTCCCCCTTCTTGGCGAAAAGGAGCTGCGGGATTTGATGCACCAATTGCTGTTGGCTTTGCGCTACCTGGAGGCTCTAGGAATTGTGCATAGGTAAGTCTACGTCACATTGTGCATCTACTGCCAGCACAGCTGCCTAATGCTGTTTTTTCATGTTTTTCACTTTCAAGACTTTTGCCTTTGAAATTGTATGGGCAAAGCAGAGGATGGTAATGATGATAGAGGCAGCGCGGGGGAAGAAGGTATTCTGCAAATAAGTATTCTTCCCGAACGATAACCGTGAGGTGCTTTACACCTTTGTAAAAGAGTCTTGACCTTGCATCTCTTTTGTTTCTGGTTGACACGCTCGATCACTTGCTCACTCCATAATACTTCGTTTGTAAAACGTCCAAATCGATACCAGCGAGTGCAGGTACAAAGCATGAACATACCATGCATGAACACGTGCACAACATGTAAGTGTTTTACCCACCTTCTTCCTTGACGGGGTATGTTTCTCATTAACGCATGAACTGTGTTGCACGCGTGCATTCCACAGCAGCGACATGCCCTTGCGTCACTGGAATGAATTCCTGTTTTGTCCACTTTATAAAGAGATCTGACATAATAATAATAATAATAATAATAATACTAATATGAACAGGTCGCATATTCCTGCCGATTTGAATTCTCACTTGACTGACTCACGATTGCCATCCAGAGCACACGAGAAGTCCATCGAACCGTCCACTCAGCTCAACTGATGAGGGGTGAATTCCCCGAAACACTATGTATTGAGCACGGAGTGGTGTTTTCTTGCAGGTTGGCCGAGTGGACGGCTCGGCGGACCTCTCGTGTGCTCTGGATGGCTGTCGTGAGTCAGTTAAGTGAGAATTCAAGTCAGCAGGAAAACCGCGAGCTCCCAAGTGGGGAGCAACAAACACTTCCCCTACTATCGCCGAAGTCGCACCACCCTCTTCTTCACAGGTCGCATATTGCCCTATGAACAAATCATACGGGGGTCATGCATCTATGAATGATCGTTAACCAGAGTTGGTGGCGAGGTTGAGGCATTCCTTAATCAGCACATTCACAGGCTTGAAGTTTTCTTTGATGTTGTCGACCCATCTCTTGTGGGGTCGTCCACGGGGGAGATTTGACATACATTTCATGTAATAATCCATCTGAAAAGTAATATTCAAGCTCAGCGGATTCTGATGCACAACGTCTACATGCTTGCTTTTTTACAAATTGCTTGCCAAGTTTGACACGGCTTTGGCATTAGGGAAATCCAATCGCAAAGCGAGAAGCCTTTAGCGCTTTCTTACAAAAGTCGATAGTATTGTCCTGCAAGGTAAGGTCTAGGTCTCAGTGAGAGACTTGCCGCTACGCGCACTAGGTTAAGCCAATCACAGAGCGCAGCTAATGGACACAGCAAGCTGGCCGGAGATTATAAGTGCAATGCATGCCAAGAGTATAAAACATGCGTTCGGTCTTGTGATTCTTCTGCAGTGATATCAAAAGTAACAACGTCATGATGGCGGCTGGTGGACAGGTGAAGTTAATCGATTTCGGTTGTGCCGTTGACATGTACGACCCGAACAGGATTGGTATACGTCCCCGTGCTCGAGCAGATCCGCCGGAGACCCGGGACATCATATTGGGCGGCATCTGCCCAAAGACCGACATATTTATGCTGTAAGTTCACATGCAGATGCTAATGTGCCCTTGGACAAAATTCCAAGTTTCGGAATTAGGACCTGAGTGAACATCACTGCATCCCAATAGGTTACTGAATGAACTAGGATACTAAATTGCCACGTCTGGGCTGAGCAGTCTTCTTGGTTTGTTGCAGTTGCCGTCGTTCGATCCAGCTTACTAGTATGGAAAGCTAGGATTAGTTGCGCTAGAAACACGTGCTTCGAAGTAATATTAATCTCTCGGATTCTGTTTCTTCTCCTTTGGCAATGCAGTGCTACAATGCTTTACCAAATGTTTTTGGGATGCGAACCATTTGGTAAACTCCGCAGTCTGACACCAGCATCTCTGCTCGACCTCCTCAGCGGCGGTCCGAAAAAGGATTCAGTGTTCGCTTCCATGAGCCTAGAGCTGCAGGATCTTTTCATACGGATGATGACCTACCTGCCACAAGAACGCATAGGTGCGCAGCAGGCACTTGAGCACAGATGGTTCAGGGCGCAACCTGACAGCCCATGCTACCCAGTTCCACCTCTCAGGGTGCCTACTGCTTGTCCATCACCAGAGAGTGAGGACGATCTTGATGCAGCTGCGATCGATGACCTGCAAGCTAGGTTTCAGGCACCACGTGCTAATATTGTTGAAATAATTCTACGGTAAGCTTTTCCATTGTTTTGAGTACATAGTATATCGGTTTGTTTCCTTAAACAAATACCCGTAAATCCGCAAGCAATGGCAAATGTTTGCGTATAATCGTTCCTCCATTGCATCATATTCCGGTCCTATAATTTCCTGGAAAGCGCACGTTTTAGGTCTTTGTTAAGTTCTCACAATTGGTCGCTGTTTAACTATTGTGGTGCGGATTACGGATTTCTTTGAGATGATGACAGCCTTGTAGTCTCCACATCCATTCTCGGACCATTGCGAGCTCCTCAACTGAAGATCTCATAACAAAACGTGTTTTCTACAGAGTACACGTCTTGCATCAAGAAAATTCGTAAATTTGTGTTTACATACGCTTCTAAGGTTACTCGCTTTTTTTCTCCTTTACTCTTTCCCTATTTGAATGCAGGAAACCGAATGGATGGCTAGGAATTGCATACCGAGCCAATACTTACCAGCTGCGTTGAGTCATAGTCACAAAGAGCCTCCTAATCTTAGGCCAGATGCGTCGGCAGAGTACTTGTGTACAAGTACTTGAGAGTACTTGTGTAAATTTCCAAATCATCTCTTCCACAACAAACTATTAAAACTAATCCTTAGGGTGTTTCTCCCTTCCCATTAGTGACGATATACCATTCATGATTGTGACGAGAAAGCATTCATATCTGGGTACTTTAGTTCAAATGTTTGTGATTATGAGCGTTCTATATTATTGTTCCCCCAACCAGGCAGGCACAGTGGGTTGGTCAAAGACCATGATTGAGATACGAGAGGTACCTGGTTCAAGTCCTGCATGGGAGCGGTTTTTCCAGCCGTGCTGCTACCCACAGTCAACTGGGAACTTGTGGCCAGGCACAAGGGGTACATGGATGCAGCTAATGGGGTCGCTTTCTGCACTTGTGCCACTGGTTGTGAGACTTACCCACTCACCCCCACCGTTAGGCGCTGCATCTGCCGCTAGGGTTTATCGGGTGTTAGCGGCCGTCGTGAGTTCCCTTCGGGAACGGATACGATAATTTACTTATTTACTTTTTATATTATTGTTTACTCAATCTGCGGACAGCATGCTGTTTCGTTCTTTTTGAACTCATCAGCGCAGCACAGAGAAAATGAGGCCGAACCTGATAGCAATGAAAATAAAAATTTCCAATCAGGCCCGAACGTACCTTGCCAGAGTGCTCAAACTGACAAGTCAGTGAGCTCTGCATAACGCAAACAGCAAAGGCACTACCCCACGCAAGAGTGCTCAACTGCTACAAGAGCAGGAGCGAAATACTCAATCTGCGGACAGCATGCTGTTTCGTTCTTTTTGAACTCATCAGCGCAGCACAGAGAAAATGAGGCCGAACCTGATAAAATAATCTACGTGGAGATAAAGTGGAGATAAAGTATAATAATAGCTATGAAAAGTATGAATGCCGCAGACATCCCCACGCAACATGACAATTTGTTCAAGGTTTAATTCCGTATTTCCACTGATGATCGGAGCTTGAAAATCGATTTTGGAAACACACAAAACCAAACCTTGAACAAATTGTCATGTTGCGTGGTGATGTCTGCGGCATTCATACTTTTCATAGCTATTGGTTCGCGGCCCGACCGCATGAACACAGCCGTAACTTCCATAATAATTGATGAATTTTGCTCAAATCTTGACCACATACCCAGTGTATTTCACTAAGTCCAATGAAGTATAAATCAAGCTCACACATGGGAATCCGCAGACACAATAGTCAAATCTGCGATTATGCCGTACCACCAATACCTTAGACGCAATATGCAAACGCAGAAAGAAGCTGGGTAGAAACTGAGTGCTCCACAGGATTTCCTTCACATATACCTAGGTGCTAAGTGGAGCGGAATTTTGAAATCATATTCAGAACAAAGTACTCAAGCTGTCAAACAAAAATCATGCAATCGCACAAAATTTAGGTCCTCGATCAGTAGCACTTTACTCAAAGCTACTAGACAAATATAAAAATCCATGACACTTAGCACCTTGATAAATGCTCACAGTTTCCAAAAATGTATGGTTTATGGGGTCTGTGACTTACAGGTTCTTTGCTACGCTGTCTAAGAGGTACGGGACTCAGTGGAAAATGGAGAAAAAAAGTGCTCTGTGCAAGTACAGATGGAGGTATGTCTGTCCAACTAGAACTTACTAGAACTTAGTCGAAGCCACCAGCTTCATATGTCAAACCTTCTTCCTCTTGCTGCTCATCCTGGATGCCCTTCCTGACCCTCCTTCGCTTCTTTCGTGACCTCTTCCCTTCTTCTGACTTCTTTCTGGCAGCATGTGCCTGTCTCTCACGGTCTAGCAGCTTGATGAGACGTGTCGTATGGTGTCCAGTAGGGAGGCCCATCTCGTCCAGAACGCGTTTCACTGCCACACCTCCATCATTGAACCAGGCCACGGCCAGGTAGACGCACATCTGGACAGTGGGAGCTGATGCAAAGCCTGTCTTTGGACACAACTGCCACACGAGTCCATTGAACGCTTCGTTGCGATTCTGCGTAGCACCCTTCTGGCAGCGCTCGAGCAAACTCCGGTCGGACAACCGAATGTAGACCGGCTTCAGTTCCTTCCATACTGCCTCTGGCAGGATATTGTGGTGGGCGTAGACATCACCACCTGCCTGTTGCTGCTGCCATCTACACCAGCTGTTAATTCCAGGCGGACAATACTGGTGCTGAGGTTTACTGTCGCTGGATGCACGATGCATGAGGGATGCCCATATGGCCCTGGCCATGGCTTGCAAGTCTCCGCTGTTGTTCCGCACAGCCATGCCATAGTAGGCTTGCAGCTTGTCGATCATGGCATCCGTGAGGCGACCACGTCCGCCTATAGTGCGCCCATCAGCAAGCTTCTTGCCCGCAAGGTTTTTCTTCAGCTTTCTTAGGCTGGTACCGATGCGTTTTTGAACGTGGCCGACACATTCCTCCTTGACTACAGGCACCTGGGGCCCATACGGACAAGCGTCACGCACAGCCTTAAAACTCTTGGTATCTCCATCACCAATGTAGGTGGTGTACCTCAGCTTGCGGCTCTCAAAGGACCTGGCCCACAGAGTCTTGGCGGCTGCACTCTCCATGGCAGGAGCTGATACAGTGGTGTTGACTGAGCAATCGTGTTCGGCAATCTGTCGATCATAGTCATCTTTGGTTAGCTCTCCCTTCTCTTTTCTAGACGCCAAGTGCGTGCACTTGTGGCAAAACTTTGAAAGCACTTCGCAGTCCACCACTTTGCCGACATCATATGCAATTATAGTGAAGGCTCCGAAGAGCGATGCGAATCCTCGGCGCATCCAGGTACCGTCATAGGAAGCAGCGATATCGCTACCCCCATCTGCTGCGGACACTGCTTTCTCAGCTGCCTCAGTCATGCTACGCTCAGCGACGCTCTTGGACGCGGAATGCAGGCCTTTAGCATGGCTGTAAAATGTCGACCGACTCATAGGTGATGGCATATTCAGTGCACCCGCCAGCTTTACCATTGATTGACGTCCACGGCCAATCAGTCGCATTCCGAATACTGCTCGTCTGTTCACCTCCCAGACCCGATTGAACTTCTTGGACATAAATTCGCTTGCTATGTCGCCGCAGTTAACACAGGAAAGCTCCAGGCATGATGCAAGGCCTCCCCGTTGCGATTCGCTGATCGTGACTGCGCCATTACAGCCACTGCAACAAACTGCAGCTGACAAAAGCTGCTGAAGGCACTCGAGATCAATCAGGCGAAATCCATGCGCCCCTTCCTCACACTCTTCATCCAAGTCACTGTCGGAGGAACTGCTGTCGACTTCACCGCCACTTCCATCACTATCGCTGCTTGAAGACGTGGCTTCAGCTGGCACTTCAAGGTCGTCATCAGACAGTGGCAAGTCAGGAATTTGTTCTGCAGGCGAAATTTTACCAGAGGGAGCCTTCGGCGCCTGAGACACTCCATAGAACGTTCTTTTCCTTTTCTTAGATCGTCCGGGCTTTCCCTTGGTTCTAGACTTCCCCATAGTAGCCAACGAAGGGGTTAGCTCCAAGAAACAATTACTCCAAAACAATTACTCCAAAAGTTTCAACAGCAGAGCGATCAGCTGAGATCATGAGAGTCGAAATTTGAATTTTTTTTTGAATTTGCGCATGCGCAAAAGTTATCTTGGTTGCCATGGTGACAAACATCGTGCGCGGCTGTCAGTCTGCAGCGCAGAGGAGTACAAGGAGTCGCTCCAGAAAATTTTAATGAAATCGCTCAAAGATTGACGGTAAAAATCGGAATAGTGTGCAAACCTAAATTTTGTAGAAATTTGCTGATATTTCAGTATTTCAAAAACAATTGTGCAGACTTTGCGCGGCTATATCTCCGGAAGGAAGCACCCGATTACGCTCAAATTTTCAGGATAAACCCTTTGGACCATACACAAGACGCTGCCAGTGAAAAAATACAGAAAATCGAAACTTTGTTTTTTGACCCTCTGAACCCAGACTGCCACCTTAAACAAATACCCGTAAATCCGCAAGCAATGGCAAATGTTTGCGTATAATCGTTCCTCCATTGCATCATATTCCGGTCCTATAATTTCCTGGAAAGCGCACGTTTTAGGTCTTTGTTAAGTTCTCACAATTGGTCGCTGTTTAACTATTGTGGTGCGGATTACGGATTTCTTTGAGATGATGACAGCCTTGTAGTCTCCACATCCATTCTCGGACCATTGCGAGCTCCTCAACTGAAGATCTCATAACAAAACGTGTTTTCTACAGAGTACACGTCTTGCATCAAGAAAATTCGTAAATTTGTGTTTACATACGCTTCTAAGGTTACTCGCTTTTTTTCTCCTTTACTCTTTCCCTATTTGAATGCAGGAAACCGAATGGATGGCTAGGAATTGCATACCGAGCCAATACTTACCAGCTGCGTTGAGTCATAGTCACAAAGAGCCTCCTAATCTTAGGCCAGATGCGTCGGCAGAGTACTTGTGTACAAGTACTTGAGAGTACTTGTGTAAATTTCCAAATCATCTCTTCCACAACAAACTATTAAAACTAATCCTTAGGGTGTTTCTCCCTTCCCATTAGTGACGATATACCATTCATGATTGTGACGAGAAAGCATTCATATCTGGGTACTTTAGTTCAAATGTTTGTGATTATGAGCGTTCTATATTATTGTTCCCCCAACCAGGCAGGCACAGTGGGTTGGTCAAAGACCATGATTGAGATACGAGAGGTACCTGGTTCAAGTCCTGCATGGGAGCGGTTTTTCCAGCCGTGCTGCTACCCACAGTCAACTGGGAACTTGTGGCCAGGCACAAGGGGTACATGGATGCAGCTAATGGGGTCGCTTTCTGCACTTGTGCCACTGGTTGTGAGACTTACCCACTCACCCCCACCGTTAGGCGCTGCATCTGCCGCTAGGGTTTATCGGGTGTTAGCGGCCGTCGTGAGTTCCCTTCGGGAACGGATACGATAATTTACTTATTTACTTTTTATATTATTGTTTACTCAATCTGCGGACAG